GTTTTGTGCAATTTTTCTCAAAACATAAGGAGTCTTGTGATGCAGATGATTTACAAGTACTTTTGTCAACAATTAATTTGATCTCAATTGAAGAATTTTGAAAATAATAAAACTTTGAGTATTTAATAAGATGTAAATGTGTTATATAATAAAATTTGAATTCAAAAAATATTATTGACGAATAATATCAACATTTACAAATACATATTGGTAAACATAGCCTGTAATTTTATTAGGTTGGTGACCGACATCCCCGGAAGCACGGGAGCAAGCTACGGTGAGAAACCCGTGACACATTTTTGATTAAAACAAAACAATATTTAAAAAAAATAAATAAATATTATGCACAGTAAAATATAATTAAATAAATACTGAGTTTTTCACCCTATTGATTAGGACTAATCATTTTTTTGATAATTAGTCCTAATTAGTACACACATATAATATTACATACAACATATTTTATATAAATGTAATAGTACAATTAATATATACATATACTATATAATACAGGCAATGAAATAGTGAGCTATGAAGGGCCTCAGCCGTCTATGGGAATCCATCGCCTCGTCTTTGTTCTTTTCAGACAGAATGGGCGGATTACCGTTAGGAGTCCCCGGTGGCGGCAGGGTTTTAGTGTTCGGGAATTCTCTCAACTCCACAACCTCGGCAATCCGGTGGCCGCTATTTATTATAACTGCCACCGGGAAGCTGGCACCGGCGGCCGTCGACTTTGATATATACAACTTACTTACCTAGCTAGTAGTAAAAAAAAAAAAAATAGAAGATTAAATGTTTAGTTCCTGTATTTATATGATTATAAAATAAAGTGAGGGTTGTAATGAATGATCCGAGATTAAACATAATCTTAAGCCAACTGAATTGGGATTAATTAATACGTCATATTTTAAAATGTTAAGACTTAAGAGTTCCTACTATTCATATTAAAGAATCATTGTCATATCATAATCTTTTATATATCGTGTGGTCCACTCCATCAAATCTTTTTTTTATCAATTTTTTTGATTTTTTGTTAATTTTTTAATAAAATAAATATATATTAAATGTTATTAAGTATATCATAATTAATACATTTTTAAATATAATGAAATAATTGATTTAATTTTATGATTAAAGTAAATTATAATTTTGTCTATTTATACCCCTAATTAAGGCTAGTGAAAATGTAATAATTTTGGAATGTAATTTTATCTATTTTTATAATTAAAATAATTATATTAATAATCAATAAAATTAAAACTATCAGTAATTATATTTTGTAATCTTAATATATATAAAAACGCAAATAAGTTTCATAATTCTATAGTTTTTCTTTATTTTCAAATTCTCAAAAAATTTAAAATTAATTTAATATTTTCTTAATCTTTATTTATACTCATAATTAATGAACAATGAAATTTTTCAAAATTTTCATTATAATCGATATAAAATAATTATATTAATTGATGTAGTTATAATTGATATAATTTATGAAATTATAATTAATAAATATATTTATCAAAATTAAAAATTATTATTATTATCTATATATATAAAAAGAGATCAGTATAAAATTCATTTCACCAATATTTTTTTGTCATTTTTTTGATTTTTTTCATAATATAAATATGTATTAAATGTTATTAAATATATTATAATTAATAAAATTTTAATTAGTACGTTTTTAAAAAAATAATAAGATAATTGGTTTAATTTTATAATTAAAACAAATTATAATATAATTTTATTTTTATTTATACCTCTATTTAAAAGTAATGAAAATGTAATAATTTTGAAATATAATTTTTATTAATTTTATAAATAATTATATTAATAATGAATAAAATTAAAACTATGTACAGAAAGAAGAAGAAGTAATTATTTTTATTCCTTCCTCTGTTTCCATTATTGTATCTGTAAGTTGAATTCATTTTGTTATCTGCTTCGCCAAAAAAGTATCCCTTTTCGGTGCTTGTCTGCTGCCTCCACCATATCTTAATTACTTTCTGCGAATCCGAATGTTAATCGTCCCTATCCTTTCTTCGATTGTCAGGTGGGATAGATATAGACAGGTTCTGTCGGTATTGCTTTTCAATTCTGTGATTTTAAGTGGGTATTTGAGGTTTTCGATCAGTACGTATATCAGTTGTTGCCGTTGATTTCAATGTATTTCTTGTTCTGTTTCTGTGTTTTTGTGGTTTGAATTTCAATCGTGTGGATGTTTTCTTAGGTTTTTGGATCATTAAATCTTATCTGCACATTTGACGGTTGGAGTGAAGAACAAATTTTATAGCCCTGTCAAGACAAGCTTTGACGATGACTTGAGGAATTTGATTCTACAATTTATTTAATCCCTTCGATTGATTCTTGTATTCATTTGTAGGTGTTTATCCGATAGTTTCTTTGTGAATTCTAGTTATAATCATTGATAGTTTCATATTTGGGGGAGGTTTGCTAAATTAACTTTGGTTCATCTCAATGACTTTAGATCAGAGGAAGACACCAATGCAACGTGTTCGAATTTCGTCGCAGCAAGCTCCGGTGCACAAGCTCGGCGATCCGCAGATGACCTTATCCCCGAAATTCAGATTACTCGCTGTACAGTCCACTCTGCTTGATCCTTCACTGCACTTGCAGCTATCTCGTCATGGCGAGCCATTGATCCCCGGATTACCCGATGATGTCGCGCTGCAATGTCTTCTCCGTGTTCCGATCAGCACTTAGCCTGCAAGACTGTGTGCAACCGTTGGTACTCATTGTTCGGCTGCAAAGAACACTTCTTTACACAGAGGAAGGAGCTCGGCTTCCATGATCCATGGCTATTTGTATTCGCATACCACAAGTGCACCGGGAAGATCGAGTGGAAAGTTCTGGATCTTGTCCAGTTCTCTTGGCACACAATCCCGGCTATGCCGTGTAAGGACAGGGTCTGCCCTCAGGGATTTAGGTGTGTGTCCGTCCCGCACGACGGTAGCCTCTATGTCTGCGGCGGCGTTGTATCTGACGTAGATTGCCCGCTCAACTTAGTCCTGAAATACCAAGTGCTCAAGAATCGATGGACCGTGATGAAGAAAATGAATACGGCGCGATCCTTTTTTGCGAGCGGAGTGATTGACGGGACTATCTATGTGGCGGGAGGGAACAGCTCGGACATGATCGAGCTTAGTTCTGCCGAGGCATTGGATACGAGGAAAGGGACATGGCAAAGCGTCGCGAGTATGGGGAAGAGCATGACTTCGTACGATGCGGCTGTCTTGAACGGGAAGCTCCTCGTTACGGAAGGCTGGTTTTGGCCATTTTATGTTGTCCCGAGGGGGCAGGTTTACGACCCGGCGACGGACAGTTGGGAGAATATGGCTGCCGGATTGCGAGAAGGCTGGACGGGGTCGAGCGTAGTGATGTATGGGCACTTGTTTGTGGTCACCGAGCACGAACGAACGAAGGTCAAGTTTTACGATGAAAACGAAGATTGTTGGGAGGTCGTGGAAGGGCCGGCGTTGCCGGAGCAGATTTGCAAGCCGTTCTGCGTCAATTCTTGGGCGGGTAGGATATACGTTGTGGGTCGGAATCTTCACGTCGCGGTTGGACATGTAATGAGGGTGCGTTCATGTGGTAAGAAGCAGAGGTTTTGTGTCCAGTGGCAAATTGTGGATGCACCGGACACTCTGTTCGATCTGACTCCATCGAGTGCACAGCTTCTGTTTGCTTAGGAGCTGTTGTTGTTCTTATGTATGTATCTAATGCTGTTAATCGTTAATGGATAATGTATGTATGATTGTTGGGATCTGCTGCTGCTGCTGCTAGTTTAATGTCTGTGTAATGTGAGGGGTTTTTTTATTGCCAAAAAAGAAACAGTTATTTTGTAGTGGTTTTTAATTTTGGATAATTATAAATAGAAAGAACAGAAACGTTGGGGGGTGGTAGAGACGGGTACCATCAAATCCCTAATCTCCCAAATTGAGGAGGATCTCGACGCGAGTGAGTGAGAGAGATGGGGGCGGTGACGACGGCGCTAATAGCGATCGCGGCGGTGGCGCTGGGATGGTGTACGATCGAGATAGCGTGCAAACCGTGTCTTGAGAAAGGTCGGGAAGCAATTGATCGGAATCTCAACCCGGATTACGATCCCGACGATGAGACCACAGCCGGCTCCCTTAATGCTCCACTTAATCCCGGCAATAAGGCCGTTGACGCCACTCCGGAGGCTTCTTCCATTGTTCCCAAGGCAGTCTAAGGCTTTCACTGGCAGTAATCAGTCCCTGGTTTATGAAATTGGCTCGCGAATTTCTTTTTGTTCTCGCCTTGTGTTAATTTTTTCTTGAGTTTCTTAATGCCTTTGTCCCCCCCGGCAGAGTGCTGTTTAATATATGAAAATTTTAGGGATCGGAGCTATGCAAAATGGGGTAATCGAGTGATCTTCCAGTTTCTGTATCGTTGTCATGTTTATTGACTTTGTTGATATGGAAGAATGACTGGATCAGTCGTTGGGTATTTTCCGTTTCGTAATTGCCCCAATTTGTTTCATGAGATGAAAGGGCTGATGAATCAGAAGTAGATTTTGAAGATTATATATGTGTCCACTCCATAAGATTCTTTTAACTTCATTTTCGAGTGTAATATTTCGTGATTTTGAGCAGTTGAAATTCACTTTTTGGCTCTACTCCAGCAATTATACTTGTCAAAGAAAATTTCTCATACTCTTACAATGATTGTAAGGCACTGACATCATAGAATATCATTTTATCATGAGACTGTTTCCATTCAATAAAATTACGATATATAATTGTCAACTGTAGTGTCATACATCAGACATATATATGCTGTTAAGACATGGACTGCTTACATGTTGAAGGGCTTTCTATTAAACGCCAATTAAGGCTGTCGGTTTTCAAATCTTGTTCTTCAATCAAGATTCGGTGCTTCCCAAGAACTACATCTTCACATATCCATTGTTTATGCTTTACTATATTCCGTGATACTGTTGTGCACTTGTCTTCCAGATAATCTAGCTAGTGGAACCAGACAATGCTACTGGATAAGGGATACTGGATGTGACATGGAAGAGTGAAATGCAGGGAAGGTAATTTCCTAAACCATGAATCTAATATCCACACTTTATGTATTGAAACTTGGCTAAATGTCTCTGCTTAGATATATTACATATATTATTGTCCGAGGGTAGATTTCTGGAGATTGGGATACTTAAGGAGAATTTTATCATCTATATAAGTACTTAGCTTCTTAAAGCATAACTGCCGAAACTTAAGATTATCTGGCATTAAGCAGTCCTGGATCATAGGCTTCTTGTAATGCAGGGCAGTTTAGGCATATATTTGAACCCTTTAGACCATTCTTGGTATTCATTAAATGGCTCCCTTCACCATGGCAAGCATAATATTGAAGGCTGATTTTTCTAGACACCGCAAACACGTTAAATTGCTCTTATGTTTTCTTCTTATAATTATATGCTTTTATGAATTATGATCAAATATTGTGACCTCAACTTGTGAGACTTGCCTTTATCTTGGTACCAGTGTTACTGTCTTGTCATTGTCCTTGCTAGTTGATTATGTTGGCTCAAGTTTTAGAGTTAAATATTTATTTTTGAAAGCTCATGTGTTTAGTATTTACTTTTATAACTTAAAAATTTGAGTGGTGTATTTTTATGCTTAATAGTTACATCGTAAGTTTATATTTTCATTCTTATAAATATAATGGGTAATAATGTGTTATGGTGTGCGCCATGCCGCACCATGTGCCATTATGCGTTATTCAGCCTTGTGTATTTATCAACACATAGCTAACTCTCCATTCCTGAGCTTTCTTCTTTCACTTGTTGAGGACATATCTAGTTTGATGGTTGAGAAACTTTACTTTACTTCATTGAATATTAGATTAATTATGAGGCAATCTTATTTTTGAAAAGTAAAGATTCACGTACCTCGCATAGTGCTGGCTCTTTTCACTTAAAGCAAGATTCACGATTGTGGCTAGTATCAATTCATCACTCCCACTCATAGCCCTAAAAAGAAAGTTCTCATTCTTTTTTTCTATTATTTTCACGGTTGCTTTATTTAAATTTTCTGCAAAAGGAAAAGAATGATTCATTCTTTTCTAAATTTGTTTCCTCTGGTGCATTCTTATTTGATTATAAGTACTGTTTGTTGATCGTGTCCGTAGATATTACCTAGATAGGATAAGGTCTTGTTCATCCAAGCATTGTTTGCTCGGGTTCTAGTTTTGCAATCGCGGGCTGGACTGATGCAGGTGTGGGCTCTTCCCTCTGCTAGTTGCTCGGGAATACGAATCTAAAGCCCCACAAACTCTACTACACACAATTAACGTACACATACATACATACATTTATATATATATGAAAATTATTAGAAGGAGAGGGATAAGGAATCTCGATTCCATTAGTGTGTGTTGCATGACTTAAAGAGACGCAAAAGTTGAAATTTTGAATTTCTGTATCACAAGGTGCCAGGAAAACCTTTTGCAGGATCTACTATATAAGGAGGGGGGTTTCCTTACCCTGCAGATGCATAAGCACGTGAAATATAGATATGTAGATAATATCAAACAATACAAATGTCAAGTAAAAGGCACCCGCTGGTGGTTAGTGGTGTGGTGGGAGATGTTCTGGATCCTTTTGTGGCGACAACTGAGCTCAGAGTCTACAGTGATGGCAGACAGCTGTTTAACGGGTGCAGCTTGCGACCTGCGCAGGTGGCCGGCCGTCCTAGGGTTGACACTGGAGGCGATGATTTCCGCACATTTTATACTCTTGTAAGAATGCATGTCTTTTTCCGCACATTTTATACTCTTGTAAGAATGCATGTCTTTGTTATGTATATCGTGTGTGTGTGTGTGTGTGTGTCTTAATTTCTACCTCCATTTATATGCCCTGTGGATTTGATTTGATCTGTGTGACTCTGGTTCGTAGGTGATGGTGGATGCCGATTCTCCAAGTCCCGGCAATCCATATCTAAGGGAATACTTGCATTGGTCACTCTCTTCTCTCATAGCCTCTTACCCACATGTGTTTATATTTGTCATAAAAGTATATATAGACAGAGCAGACCGATGCGTATATTGGTGTATTTTGGATGTACCCTAGTTTCGAATATATTGTAACGATGAATGATTCAGGTTGGTGACGGACATCCCAGGAAGCACAGGGGCGAGCTTCGGTAAGAGAAACAGCTACTCTTACTACAATCTATGTTATTTTCGTTATTACGATGATTAATGAATGTGTGTGAAACTGTGAATGCAGGGAAAGAGATAGTGAGCTATGAAAGCCCTGATCCAACAATGGGCATCCACCGGATAGCTTTGGTCCTTTTCCGACAACTAGGTGGGCGGGACCACATGGCCGGCTTCTTACATAGTCGTCGTTGGATCAAGAGTCAGGGATTTGTATTAAAGACATTGATATTCATATCAAAATATTTGATATAAAAAAATAAAACTGTGAGGAAATTATATAAATAATAAAATTATATAAAAATAGAATTTTTCGGTTATTAATAATTTAAAAGTATACTAATCAACAATAAACAAACAATATTATAAATTTCTATTATGTATATGAAAACCCTCAAATCACGACCGGACAGATGATGTGATGACTGCGGTGGAGGAAAATATTTGGGGGAAGACGTAATAAAGAGTATTTTTGATTTTATTTTTTTTAGTTTGCGGAATAAAAAGAATTGAGATATTTTATTTTTTTCTCTACTAATTCAATTTTCTTCATACGAGAAAACATGATTATATATATATATATATATAATCAATGGTAACTACATAATTATAATTTACTTTTGAAAACATAAAATTGAATAATGTTAACATCTATTGAGCTATATAAAAAATATTAAATATTTATCTTGTTGAATGTCATAAGAATTTATTCTTTTACTGCAATATTTCTATTAATATTATTTGAAAATTTGTGAAAGTGGAAAAGACGGTCTTTGGATACGTGTATAGTCCTAAGGATAAATCAAACTCTTGGTTGTAATTGGTGTTGTAGTCGAGGTCGAGGAATCTGAAAAAGATAAATTAGATTAAATGGTCATAAGAACTTATTATCTTATTGCAATATATATTGCTATTGATTTAATTTGAAAATTTGTGAAAATAAAAATGCACGATCATTGGATACGAGTATAATATCAATGGTAAATCAAACTCTTGGTTGTAATTGGTGTTGTAGTCAAGATCGAAGAATCTAAAGAAGATAAATTAAATGGTCCGTATGGAAAGTGTCCCAAAAATTGAAGAAGATAGAAAAATGACTCCAATTTACATAGCATATTTTCTCAATGTTCTTTTCGCTTTCCTTTCTTTTCTTTTTTCTTTTCTCGTTGAGGTTCTTTGATTATCACGTGGAATTTAACATGCATGTAATAATAAACTTTACTCTTGTTTTGTAACATGATTATGAAATAATCACATGCACGGGCGCGTGCGCACATATATATATATATTTCATGCTTTTTCCAAAACACACACATATATATAATAAATTGTACATATACAAATAGTTTGTCTACTTAAATAAAACAATTTTCTATAAATATTATTAAATATATATATACATCAGCATAATATAATGTAAAATATTATTTTTATATTTTGAATGTAATTGTCACCTTCTAACAAAAAAAAAAAAAGAAAAAAAAAGAACATATTCATAAAAAAAGTAACTTTAATTTTTTTGAATGTGAGCATCAACCAATCAATCAATCAAAGACGTGGAGTGGCGGGGATGAGGTTTCCCATTCCCAGTGCTCTTTTGTGCAGAATACGAATCTGCAGCCCCACACCAGAGCTGACCCTTCAAATAAAAGATAAGATAAAGACTCATAAATAAATAAAATAAAATGGATCGAAATGGGAAATACTATGGAATTAAACCAAAGTACCAAAAATAAATAAATTTATTTTAGAGAGGACAGAAATTTTTGAGTCACCCATCATCGATCATCATTATATATATAGTTATGCCAAAATTCCAGTGACAGCGAAATGACATCCTTAAAGGCGCTTTGTCCGCTTCAGAGAACTCGACACGTGTCCCCTCCGGAAGAAAACCGCATCAACCCGGTTCATCCTATAAATAGTAATATCGCTTAATGTGGGCATATATACATACTACATACATACTCAAATATGGCAAGAGAACGGAATCCCCTCGTCGTCAGCGGCGTCGTCGGAGATATTCTCGATCCTTTCGCCGCCGTCACAGATCTCCGCCTCTTCACCGACGGCGGCCGGATGGTCTTCAGCGGCGCCAGTTTCAGGCCCTCTCAGGTCGCCGCCGCCCCCAGAGTCGAGATCGGCGGCGAAGATTTCCGGACATTTTATACCCTCGTAAGACTACACTTAGCACGTCGTTTCCACTTTTTTTTTTTTGTAATATATTGTATGATTAATTAATTAATTACATGTACTTATTAAATTTGGGTAGGTTATGGTAGATGCAGATTCTCCGACGCCTGCTGACCCTTATTTTAGGGCGTACTTGCACTGGTACAACTTCTCTTTTATTTATTTTTTATTCTTAACTAATTAATGCCTAATTAAAAAAATAATTAGGAACTAAAACATATTTTAATTTGTCTGCTCTGTACATACATTTAAAAAAAATATATATATATATATGTATATGCATTGAAAAATGTCATATATTCTAGATAAAAAGTATTCCACCATCCGTTCCGAGCCTTCTTTTTGAGCATCCCTTTGTGGTTTTTGATTAGTACACGGGTACGTTAGTTATCTCAGAATCTACCCACTACAATACTATTTATATATATATATATATATTTTATTTATTTAAGAAAGACCACAGTAAGAAATCCACATATCCTTCTAGTGCAGCTTTGCCAATTTCACTCCGAGTAACCATCAAAATTTAGGATATAATTAAAGAGGTTTGAACTATTTTATAATTCAAAAATTACATGAAATTTCTTTGGTATTTTTTAAAATAAGTTTTGTGCAATTTTTCTCAAAACATAAGGAGTCTTGTGATGCAGATGATTTACAAGTACTTTTGTCAACAATTAATTTGATCTCAATTGAAGAATTTTGAAAATAATAAAACTTTGAGTATTTAATAAGATGTAAATGTGTTATATAATAAAATTTGAATTCAAAAAATATTATTGACGAATAATATCAACATTTACAAATACATATTGGTAAACATAGCCTGTAATTTTATTAGGTTGGTGACCGACATCCCCGGAAGCACGGGAGCAAGCTACGGTGAGAAACCCGTGACACATTTTTGATTAAAACAAAACAATATTTAAAAAAAATAAATAAATATTATGCACAGTAAAATATAATTAAATAAATACTGAGTTTTTCACCCTATTGATTAGGACTAATCATTTTTTTGATAATTAGTCCTAATTAGTACACACATATAATATTACATACAACATATTTTATATAAATGTAATAGTACAATTAATATATACATATACTATATAATACAGGCAATGAAATAGTGAGCTATGAAGGGCCTCAGCCGTCTATGGGAATCCATCGCCTCGTCTTTGTTCTTTTCAGACAGAATGGGCGGATTACCGTTAGGAGTCCCCGGTGGCGGCAGGGTTTTAGTGTTCGGGAATTCTCTCAACTCCACAACCTCGGCAATCCGGTGGCCGCTATTTATTATAACTGCCACCGGGAAGCTGGCACCGGCGGCCGTCGACTTTGATATATACAACTTACTTACCTAGCTAGTAGTAAAAAAAAAAAAAATAGAAGATTAAATGTTTAGTTCCTGTATTTATATGATTATAAAATAAAGTGAGGGTTGTAATGAATGATCCGAGATTAAACATAATCTTAAGCCAACTGAATTGGGATTAATTAATACGTCATATTTTAAAATGTTAAGACTTAAGAGTTCCTACTATTCATATTAAAGAATCATTGTCATATCATAATCTTTTATATATCGTGTGGTCCACTCCATCAAATCTTTTTTTTATCAATTTTTTTGATTTTTTGTTAATTTTTTAATAAAATAAATATATATTAAATGTTATTAAGTATATCATAATTAATACATTTTTAAATATAATGAAATAATTGATTTAATTTTATGATTAAAGTAAATTATAATTTTGTCTATTTATACCCCTAATTAAGGCTAGTGAAAATGTAATAATTTTGGAATGTAATTTTATCTATTTTTATAATTAAAATAATTATATTAATAATCAATAAAATTAAAACTATCAGTAATTATATTTTGTAATCTTAATATATATAAAAACGCAAATAAGTTTCATAATTCTATAGTTTTTCTTTATTTTCAAATTCTCAAAAAATTTAAAATTAATTTAATATTTTCTTAATCTTTATTTATACTCATAATTAATGAACAATGAAATTTTTCAAAATTTTCATTATAATCGATATAAAATAATTATATTAATTGATGTAGTTATAATTGATATAATTTATGAAATTATAATTAATAAATATATTTATCAAAATTAAAAATTATTATTATTATCTATATATATAAAAAGAGATCAGTATAAAATTCATTTCACCAATATTTTTTTGTCATTTTTTTGATTTTTTTCATAATATAAATATGTATTAAATGTTATTAAATATATTATAATTAATAAAATTTTAATTAGTACGTTTTTAAAAAAATAATAAGATAATTGGTTTAATTTTATAATTAAAACAAATTATAATATAATTTTATTTTTATTTATACCTCTATTTAAAAGTAATGAAAATGTAATAATTTTGAAATATAATTTTTATTAATTTTATAAATAATTATATTAATAATGAATAAAATTAAAACTATGTACAGAAAGAAGAAGAAGTAATTATTTTTATTCCTTCCTCTGTTTCCATTATTGTATCTGTAAGTTGAATTCATTTTGTTATCTGCTTCGCCAAAAAAGTATCCCTTTTCGGTGCTTGTCTGCTGCCTCCACCATATCTTAATTACTTTCTGCGAATCCGAATGTTAATCGTCCCTATCCTTTCTTCGATTGTCAGGTGGGATAGATATAGACAGGTTCTGTCGGTATTGCTTTTCAATTCTGTGATTTTAAGTGGGTATTTGAGGTTTTCGATCAGTACGTATATCAGTTGTTGCCGTTGATTTCAATGTATTTCTTGTTCTGTTTCTGTGTTTTTGTGGTTTGAATTTCAATCGTGTGGATGTTTTCTTAGGTTTTTGGATCATTAAATCTTATCTGCACATTTGACGGTTGGAGTGAAGAACAAATTTTATAGCCCTGTCAAGACAAGCTTTGACGATGACTTGAGGAATTTGATTCTACAATTTATTTAATCCCTTCGATTGATTCTTGTATTCATTTGTAGGTGTTTATCCGATAGTTTCTTTGTGAATTCTAGTTATAATCATTGATAGTTTCATATTTGGGGGAGGTTTGCTAAATTAACTTTGGTTCATCTCAATGACTTTAGATCAGAGGAAGACACCAATGCAACGTGTTCGAATTTCGTCGCAGCAAGCTCCGGTGCACAAGCTCGGCGATCCGCAGATGACCTTATCCCCGAAATTCAGATTACTCGCTGTACAGTCCACTCTGCTTGATCCTTCACTGCACTTGCAGCTATCTCGTCATGGCGAGCCATTGATCCCCGGATTACCCGATGATGTCGCGCTGCAATGTCTTCTCCGTGTTCCGATCAGCACTTAGCCTGCAAGACTGTGTGCAACCGTTGGTACTCATTGTTCGGCTGCAAAGAACACTTCTTTACACAGAGGAAGGAGCTCGGCTTCCATGATCCATGGCTATTTGTATTCGCATACCACAAGTGCACCGGGAAGATCGAGTGGAAAGTTCTGGATCTTGTCCAGTTCTCTTGGCACACAATCCCGGCTATGCCGTGTAAGGACAGGGTCTGCCCTCAGGGATTTAGGTGTGTGTCCGTCCCGCACGACGGTAGCCTCTATGTCTGCGGCGGCGTTGTATCTGACGTAGATTGCCCGCTCAACTTAGTCCTGAAATACCAAGTGCTCAAGAATCGATGGACCGTGATGAAGAAAATGAATACGGCGCGATCCTTTTTTGCGAGCGGAGTGATTGACGGGACTATCTATGTGGCGGGAGGGAACAGCTCGGACATGATCGAGCTTAGTTCTGCCGAGGCATTGGATACGAGGAAAGGGACATGGCAAAGCGTCGCGAGTATGGGGAAGAGCATGACTTCGTACGATGCGGCTGTCTTGAACGGGAAGCTCCTCGTTACGGAAGGCTGGTTTTGGCCATTTTATGTTGTCCCGAGGGGGCAGGTTTACGACCCGGCGACGGACAGTTGGGAGAATATGGCTGCCGGATTGCGAGAAGGCTGGACGGGGTCGAGCGTAGTGATGTATGGGCACTTGTTTGTGGTCACCGAGCACGAACGAACGAAGGTCAAGTTTTACGATGAAAACGAAGATTGTTGGGAGGTCGTGGAAGGGCCGGCGTTGCCGGAGCAGATTTGCAAGCCGTTCTGCGTCAATTCTTGGGCGGGTAGGATATACGTTGTGGGTCGGAATCTTCACGTCGCGGTTGGACATGTAATGAGGGTGCGTTCATGTGGTAAGAAGCAGAGGTTTTGTGTCCAGTGGCAAATTGTGGATGCACCGGACACTCTGTTCGATCTGACTCCATCGAGTGCACAGCTTCTGTTTGCTTAGGAGCTGTTGTTGTTCTTATGTATGTATCTAATGCTGTTAATCGTTAATGGATAATGTATGTATGATTGTTGGGATCTGCTGCTGCTGCTGCTAGTTTAATGTCTGTGTAATGTGAGGGGTTTTTTTATTGCCAAAAAAGAAACAGTTATTTTGTAGTGGTTTTTAATTTTGGATAATTATAAATAGAAAGAACAGAAACGTTGGGGGGTGGTAGAGACGGGTACCATCAAATCCCTAATCTCCCAAATTGAGGAGGATCTCGACGCGAGTGAGTGAGAGAGATGGGGGCGGTGACGACGGCGCTAATAGCGATCGCGGCGGTGGCGCTGGGATGGTGTACGATCGAGATAGCGTGCAAACCGTGTCTTGAGAAAGGTCGGGAAGCAATTGATCGGAATCTCAACCCGGATTACGATCCCGACGATGAGACCACAGCCGGCTCCCTTAATGCTCCACTTAATCCCGGCAATAAGGCCGTTGACGCCACTCCGGAGGCTTCTTCCATTGTTCCCAAGGCAGTCTAAGGCTTTCACTGGCAGTAATCAGTCCCTGGTTTATGAAATTGGCTCGCGAATTTCTTTTTGTTCTCGCCTTGTGTTAATTTTTTCTTGAGTTTCTTAATGCCTTTGTCCCCCCCGGCAGAGTGCTGTTTAATATATGAAAATTTTAGGGATCGGAGCTATGCAAAATGGGGTAATCGAGTGATCTTCCAGTTTCTGTATCGTTGTCATGTTTATTGACTTTGTTGATATGGAAGAATGACTGGATCAGTCGTTGGGTATTTTCCGTTTCGTAATTGCCCCAATTTGTTTCATGAGATGAAAGGGCTGATGAATCAGAAGTAGATTTTGAAGATTATATATGTGTCCACTCCATAAGATTCTTTTAACTTCATTTTCGAGTGTAATATTTCGTGATTTTGAGCAGTTGAAATTCACTTTTTGGCTCTACTCCAGCAATTATACTTGTCAAAGAAAATTTCTAATACTCTTACAATGATTGTAAGGCACTGACATCATAGAATATCATTTTATCATGAGACTGTTTCCATTCAATAAAATTACGATATATAATTGTCAACTGTAGTGTCATACATCAGACATATATATGCTGTTAAGACATGGACTGCTTACATGTTGAAGGGCTTTCTATTAAACGCCAATTAAGGCTGTCGGTTTTCAAATCTTGTTCTTCAATCAAGATTCGGTGCTTCCCAAGAACTACATCTTCACATATCCATTGTGTATGCTTTACTATATTCCGTGATACTGTTGTGCACTTGTCTTCCAGATAATCTAGCTAGTGGAACCAGACAATGCTACTGGATAAGGGATACTGGATGTGACATGGAAGAGTGAAATGCAGGGAAGGTAATTTCCTAAACCATGAATCTAATATCCACACGTTATGTATTGAAACTTGGCTAAATGTCTCTGCTTAGATATACTACATATATTATTGTCCGAGGGTAGATTTCTGGAGATTGGGATACTTAAGGAGAATTTTATCATCTATATAAGTACTTAGCTTCTTAAAGCATAACTGCCGAAACTTAAGATTATCTGGCATTAAGCAGTCCTGGATCATAGGCTTCTTGTAATGCAGGGCAGTTTAGGCATATATTTGAACCCTTTAGACCATTCTTGGTATTCATTAAATGGCTCCCTTCACCATGGCAAGCATAATATTGAAGGCTGATTTTTCTAGACACCACAAACACGTTAAATTGCTCTTATGTTTTCTTCTTATAATTATATGCTTTTATGAATTATGATCAAATATTGTGACCTCAACTTGTGAGACTTGCCTTATATCTTGGTACCAGTGTTACTGTCTTTTCATTGCCCTTGCTAGTTGATTATGTTGGCTCAAGTTTTAGAGTTAAATATTTATTTTTGAAAGCTCATGTGTTTAGTATTTACTTTTATAACTTAAAAATTTGAGTGGTGTATTTTTATGCTTAATAGTTACATCGTAAGTTTATATTTTCATTCTTATAAATATAATGGGTAATAATGTGTTATGGTGTGCGCCATGCCGCACCATGTGCCATTATGCGTTATTCAGCCTTGTGTATTTATCAACACATAGCTAACTCTCCATTCCTGAGCTTTCTTCTTTCACTTGTTGAGGACATATCTAGTTTGATGGTTGAGAAACTTTACTTTACTTCATTGAATATTAGATTAATTATGAGGCAATCTTATTTTTGAAAAGTAAAGATTCACGTACCTCGCATAGTGCTGGCTCTTTTCACTTAAAGCAAGATTCACGATTGTGGCTAGTATCAATTCATCACTCCCACTCATAGCCCTAAAAAGAAAGTTCTCATTCTTTTTTTCTATTATTTTCACGGTTGCTTTATTTAAATTTTCTGCAAAAGGAAAAGAATGATTCATTCTTTTCTAAATTTGTTTCCTCTGGTGCATTCTTATTTGATTATAAGTACTGTTTGTTGATCGTGTCCGTAGATATTACCTAGATAGGATAAGGTCTTGTTCATCCAAGCATTGTTTGCTCGGGTTCTAGTTTTGCAATCGCGGGCTGGACTGATGCAGGTGTGGGCTCTTCCCTCTGCTAGTTGCTCGGGAATACGAATCTAAAGCCCCACAAACTCTACTACACACAATTAACGTACACATACATACATACATTTATATATATATGAAAATTATTAGAAGGAGAGGGATAAGGAATCTCGATTCCATTAGTGTGTGTTGCATGACTTAAAGAGACGCAAAAGTTGAAATTTTGAATTTCTGTATCACAAGGTGCCAGGAAAACCTTTTGCAGGATCTACTATATAAGGAGGGGGGTTTCCTTACCCTGCAGATGCATAAGCACGTGAAATATAGATATGTAGATAATATCAAACAATACAAATGTCAAGTAAAAGGCACCCGCTGGTGGTTAGTGGTGTGGTGGGAGATGTTCTGGATCCTTTTGTGGCGACAACTGAGCTCAGAGTCTACAGTGATGGCAGACAGCTGTTTAACGGGTGCAGCTTGCGACCTGCGCAGGTGGCCGGCCGTCCTAGGGTTGACACTGGAGGCGATGATTTCCGCACATTTTATACTCTTGTAAGAATGCATGTCTTTTTCCGCACATTTTATACTCTTGTAAGAATGCATGTCTTTGTTATGTATATCGTGTGTGTGTGTGTGTGTGTGTCTTAATTTCTACCTCCATTTATATGCCCTGTGGATTTGATTTGATCTGTGTGACTCTGGTTCGTAGGTGATGGTGGATGCCGATTCTCCAAGTCCCGGCAATCCATATCTAAGGGAATACTTGCATTGGTCACTCTCTTCTCTCATAGCCTCTTACCCACATGTGTTTATATTTGTCATAAAAGTATATATAGACAGAGCAGACCGATGCGTATATTGGTGTATTTTGGATGTACCCTAGTTTCGAATATATTGTAACGATGAATGATTCAGGTTGGTGACGGACATCCCAGGAAGCACAGGGGCGAGCTTCGGTAAGAGAAACAGCTACTCTTACTACAATCTATGTTATTTTCGTTATTACGATGATTAATGAATGTGTGTGAAACTGTGAATGCAGGGAAAGAGATAGTGAGCTATGAAAGCCCTGATCCAACAATGGGCATCCACCGGATAGCTTTGGTCCTTTTCCGACAACTAGGTGGGCGGGATTCAGTCGATCACAATTCCGAGTGGCGCCATAATTTCAACACCCGACAGTTCTCTCAGCTCCATAACCTCGGCCCTCCTGTCGCCGCTCTCTACTACAACTGCCAAAGGGAAACTGCCGCCTCCTCCTCCAGCGGCGGTGGTGCCAGGTCATCGTCCTAGCTATGCATGCGTGAGTGTCGCGCGCGAACACACACAAACACACACATATATGCATCCTTGCCATAAATAACCAAGCAGATGTCTTTATTCCCAAGTGAATAAAACTTGTGTTTGCAAGTTGGTTGTGATATAAATGTAGTATTCAATACGAGGATCAAATTCAGTATATATATTTTTTGAAATATACATAGCATATTGTATAATTATGGTCGATATTGAATGAATTAGTAGGAAAAGAGACAACACAACAGTAATCCTAAATTTTGAAGCATCATCGAACTATGAAGTGCCATGAAGAGTGAGTGCATAGCAGCATATGACAAAGAGTAATTCAACAACAACAATAATGTACTGTAATATATAATATGTTTAGTAATCCTACAATTTTGAAAAGGAACTTACAAGGGCAGATTTTTGATATGCAAAGTATTGATTATAACAAATAGTAACATAGCAAATCAAATGCCTATTGATCAAGCCATCCATAACCAAGAAGAATTAATATGACTACTAAATTGAACTTCTCTCTCAATGTTGTACAAATATGTAGGATTTGAATGTTATCAATTTTAAGAGCACGTCAAAGAATATTATTTTATTTATGTGAAAACTATAATTATTAAAAAAAAATAGATTGATTAATTTTAAACGGATCAAAGTGATAAATGGAAGGAATATACAAAAAAGAAGCCTTTTATGTGGAAAATTGGATCAGGATAAAGAAAACTCATGTGTAAGAAAAATATACTGTATGAAAATAAGTTGAGACATAAATTGGGTATATTTATAGCAAATTATATTAAGTATATGTTTAAAGATAAATATATCTAATTAAAAATATTGCATTTTTTAAAATAGAGTACACAAACCTTATGTATTTATTTACTTATTCAATATAAAATTTTCTGTTATTCAATATATTAACTCCTACATTTTTCTTTAATTGCACTCATTTTGCTTATTTTACACATTTAAATACAATTTATAAAGAAATCTAGAAAAGCCTAAACACAGAATAGTAAAATAAATAAATAAAACTATATCACCCAAAATACATTAGTAAGAACAAAACAAACAAAAGAACGAGAAAAATACAGTTAGCTTTCCAACACTCTTAAATTGAATTGTTGATTTATTTCTTTAGTTAATATATATATATATATATACATATGTATATTTAATAATATTAATAAAAAATTATTTAGTATTAAATTTACTTGCTAAAATTAATTTGTAGACGATTATATTAGTTGTGGGGAATAATCACAGGTCAAGCTTATTTATTATTGGAAACTGTTGTTTAGTACTATCTCACAATTTTTATAATTTTAGAATTTTAAATGGATTATGTTTGAAAATACTATCGCAAGTAAAATTTTTTCGCTAAAATGATCTCATAGTGCTGGACTCGCCACAATGGTCCGTCATTGCTGACGTGGATGGCATGTCATCGCCACATATATGCCAGCAACACGTGATTTTGTTTTTAATTATTTTTCAAAATGTCTTAGATAAACTATTTTTTAGTCTCGTATCTTTGACCTCATTTTATTATTTTAGGACTTTAAATGGACCATGTTTGAAAATAGTACAGCTAAGTAAAAAAGTTTCGATAAAATGATGCTCCGACGTATCACTGACGTAGTGATAACATGTTAACCGCGTCAGCGTCACATCAGCAAAGGTGGAGCAACGTGGCGAATCCGGCACCAGAGGACTAGGACTATTCTAGCGAAATTTATTTACTTACATAACTATTTTCATACATGATCCATTTGTCAAATTAAATAAAACGATTCTCTATAAATATTATTATAATATATATATACATTATTAACATAATATAATGTAAAATATTATTTTTATATTTTTAACGTAATTCTCAACCTCTAATAAAAAAAACATATTCATAAAAGAAATATATAAAATGAACAAACTCATAATTAATTTGTTTGGTTTGTAATTCAAACCGATTTTTAACTGAGCAATTTCTAATGTCTTTAAGTAAACAAATATTATATCAAAATAATTTAATAAAAATCCGAAGACAAATATAAATCGAAACAAACCCTCCTTTTTATTTAATAAATCATTATTTTTTCTTCACTAAATGATAGTGTTGATTATCTTCAAAATTGTTGACATTTTTTTCATCAATTTGTAAATATGTTGATGCACTTCATCATCAAATTTGAAGCACTTGCATGTCTTTAAGATTAATCATTTCATTTCATTTCTTTTTTTTGTGTCCAAATATTTTGATGCCCATGGAATCTCCATAAGAGCGACTAAATTAAATAATTTCAATGTATACTTTTCCATAAATTTCAACGTTACGTTGCTATGCATGTTGCTGGAGTCGGGCAATTTGATATATACTAATCGATCAAACCATAAAATTACAAAAAAACATAATTAAATTGCATATGTTTTTAAAATTTAACTTTTTTTTTTTGAACGTGGGGATCAACTAATCAGTCAATCAAAGATGGAGTGGTGGGGATGATTTCTGACTTTCGAAGGGCCCGGGGTGAAATAAAAGTCAAAGCCCTTGAATATATATATATATGTTGGGGTGCAAACCCAAGTCTCACATCGGAAGTTGTGAAGAAAATTTCACACCTTATAAGTTCCAAGTGAGCTCCACTAGCACGAGGCTTTTTGGAGAATATCCAAAAATAAATTTGTGCGGGCTCAACCCAAAGCAAATAATATCATACTAGTGTTGAATTGATCTAGTCCCAACAATATATATATATATATAATATTTTTTTACCTATAATAAAATATAAATAAAAAAAATATTTTTTCTAGCATAAATTTAATTTCGAAACTTAGCATAAATTTTTCACATACTTTACAAATTGCGTAACGCTCCCTTATATTTTAACAAACGCTATATGCAACCCCCGCCATGCAAAAAAATATAGATGAAAAGTCATCTTCTTATCATAAAAAATAATAATAAAAATGAGTTTCATAGAACTTTAAAAATAAGGGAGTTCATGCAATTTTTAAAGTATATATAGGATTTACGCTGAGTTTCGAAATCATAAAGGAGTTATTGATAATTTTGCCTAATAATAATAATAATAATTTTGTCTAATATTTATTATCTTTTTAGTGCAAAAAAAATTAATTAAAACATAAATAAAAGACCCCTAAATATATATAAATGATCTACTCCGATTTTTTTACCTATAATAGAATATAAATTATTAAAATAAAATAATTTTTTTATAGAATTTTTAGATAAAACTTAACCACCAAATCATACTCTTCTATTAATAAATTAATGTTAAATAACTTATATATATACATAATGTATATATAATATAATTAAATAATAGACCTCAATTTACATTTGGACCTTGGCGGGCGCCTCTCTCGCCCGGGCCCAGTGACGGCTGTGGGGATGAGGTTTCCCATTCCCAAATCTTTTGTGCAGAATAAGAATGTGCAGCCCCACACCAGCTGACCCTTCAAAAGATAAAATAAAACATCATCTTATCATATCCTATATATATAACTATAACAAAGCTGTGGACTCCACAATTCAAATTTCTGGCTTCTTGGAGTTTATAAATTAACTTTTTTATTTATAAGTTTTTTTAGGTGAAAAAAGTTAGGTTGTTTTATTTTGAAATTACTGTTTAAAGTTTTATAATAATGGGTAATGGGTGATTTTATATTTAATTTTTAAAAACAAATCCTCATAGAAGAAGAAGATCACGGGAGATAAATATGCACTGAAGAATAAGATCACGAGAGACAAATCTGCATTGAAGAAGATCTTCACCGATCAATTTTATATTTGTTTGAATTTTTCTCTCTAATCTCTTATCTTTTTTCTATTTATTTTTTTCTAAATTATTCACTAAATTTTATATTCACTAAATTATTTTTTCTTGCAGTATAGATTTGCGTATATGGTTAAGGTCGCTGTCTTCACTAATCAATTTTATATTTATTTGAGTTTTTCTCTCTCATCTCTTACTTTTTTTAATTTTTCTTTTTCTATTTACTAAATTATTTTTCTTGATTATTTTTTTTTATGCAGTATAGATTTTGTATATGGTGAACATCCACCACTACTAAATTATTTTTCTTGGCTAATTTTTATGAAGTATAGATTTTTTTTTCTCTATTGTCTTAGTTTTTTTTTTTTTTTTCTATTTAATAAATTATTGTTTCTTGCTTTTTTTTTTTTTTTTTTTTTTTTTTTTTTTATGCAGATGCTTTCAATTGTAGTTGTAAATATTAATAGTTTGATATTATAATTGTATTTTATCTATATCTTTATAAGTTTGCTTTATATATTTTTTATTAATTACTATAATCTATTGTATTTTTTTACTAACTTATTATTATATTTAGGTGACTTTATGGAAAATATTATTGATTTATTAGAAATAATATTTGATAGATTATGTAGAATATGTCATATAAAATAATAATTTAAAATTTGTAAAAAAAATTAATATTTCACATTTTTTATTAAATTTCCCCCCTTCTAGGTAAAATATTATTAATTGTGTACAATAAATTTTAAAAAATATAATAAAAATTTACTTTAATCTTATAAATTTTATTTTTAGTATCTACTTTGTATAGATAATTTACTATGTATTTTTATAGTTAATATGTTAATTTTTCTTTTGCAACTTTTCTTTGATAAATTATTAACAATAAAATTATAATTATAAAATAATTTATTTTTATGTATTTTTAATTAAAGATATATATATTTTTTTATTTATTTCAAATATTTATAAAATAAAATAAAAATAATATAACAATTAAAAATATTAAACGAAAGTACCAGAAATAAATAAATTTTTGGATCGAAATGGGAAATAAATAAAATAAAATGGATCGAAATGGGAAATACTATGAAATTAAACCAAAGTACCAAAAATAAATAAATTTATTTTAGAGAGGACAGAAATTTTTGAGTCACCCATCATCCACCATCATTATATATATAGTTATGCAAAAATTGCAGTGACAGCGAAATGACATCCTTAAAGGCGCTTTGTCCGCTTCAGAGAACTCGACACGTGTCCCCTCCGTAAGAAAACCGCATCAACCCGGTTCATCCTATAAATAGTAATATCGCTTAATGTGGGCATATATACATACTACATACATACTCAAATATGGCAAGAGAACGGAATCCCCTCGTCGT